CGGCCGCCACTACCGCCTCAGCGCGGCCCCGCGCCCGCGCGCGCCGCCCGCCCCCGACGGAGCGCCGCGCGGGACAAGCCCCGCCGCGAAGCGCTCGCGGCCTCACCAATCCATATGTACACATGTATGAGTAATATATATGAATATGTACATACATACCATATATAATATTATAAATTTTATATACACACACTCACATGACTCCCACACACACCTGAGGGGTGTCATGCACTCTACAAAGCCCTCCTGCCCTGTCTGCCCCACAGTGAGGCCTCCTGTTTCCCTTTTTATATTCCTGAATAAAGTCTCTGCTTCCCGAAATGCAGAGTTTTGCCCTGGTTTATGGAGTGGGAAACTCCAGGGATGTTATGGTGGTAGATGGATGCCATTCCACATGGGATATATCCTGTATGGGTCAAAGGGGAAAAATGTTAATGGTTAAAGTTAGTGGGGCGTAACTACCTGAGCTGCCTTTCAATTAACGTGCTTCTGTTCTGGTAAGGGCTGTCCATAACTGCATGCATCTCCGTGCAGGTTAGTCTATCACATATTTCTTAATGTGAGCATCTTTTTCCTATGTTCTCTGGATCAGGAAGAAAAGAAGAAAGATTTTGACATCTGTAGTCAGACATATCTATGAAACTTTCATCTTCATCTGCACCTCTGCCTCCATCCCCACCAAAGCACCTGCTCTCRCCTGAGTTTTATCCTCCAAAAACCCCAGCCTGGGTCATGCTCCTTGGATCGCTGCTTGGCTCCTGGCATTCATTTTTATGCAGGAAGCACTCAAGCAGGATGTCAGCAGAACATCCATGGAAAACGCCCACGGATACGCTCCCTCTCCCTCGTCTTTACGCGCCTGCCTCTGTCAGAAACTGAGCTCCAAGACKATTAAAACAGGGCAGGGGGTTGTAAAGAGGAGCTCACCTCAGTTCTGTTTGTGCCCTGGTGCTTARGCATCTTACAAGACATTCAAACCACAATCAAAGGTGACCCAGCAGCTCCAATACTGGACTCTCGGTGYCTGTTATCCTCTCATTTGCCTTAGGGAATTAGAGCTTCCTATCACCTATGGCGGGGGGGTTGCTCAGTGAGCCTGGGCTCTCTCCTCCATGCCATGTCCTGTCCCTGCACTTTAGCTGGATCTGCTCTAAGYGAGACCTCCCTCTTGAGCAACTGCTTGGAGCTTTGTACGAATTTATTTGCAAGTCAATTAACATAGCACCCCTGCTCCAAGTGAGCAGGACTCTTCCTTTTTTTCACAATCTGTCTCCCCCAGTTCAGCACAGATTTCTACCCATTAAACTTGGTGTTTTTGTATGCGGTGAGTCTGAGGTAAAACCTGGCAGATTTTGCAGATTCCGTTGTTCAAGCTTGGTGTATTTAATTGGTTATCCTTATCACCCCCTCCAGCTGCTCAAGCGCTGCCTCCTCATGCACCGTYGCCACGCTACAAATCCGTGTTGTTCCGTCAATACACCCGCTGCGTACACAGCCTCCAATAGCAAGGATTTAGTCATTCCAAGCAGCTCCAGAAGAACTGGAAACAGAGTCAGCTCTCTCCCTAACCACGCTAGAATCTGTTCTGCTTAGTTTTGCTGCTTCTTTTGGAGGGATGCACAGGAGAATGRCAAGGATGTTCTGCCTGAGCAGAAGAAAATGGTCTTTCTGCTAACSGAGTCAAACCTCTTTCCAGCTTTTCCAGCTGAATGTCTTTCCCCTCTCCACCACTTTGTGTCTCTGTCTCACACATCTCTGGTGCAGAACCAGGAACTGCATTACAGGAGCTCTGAAGGAAAATGTTTGTTTGCAAAAATTCACATCCAAACCTTACAAATTCCCTTTGTTCTTTCCCAGCAAGTGTCAGTCTCCCTGCTTCCTTCAAAACCCTTCTAAATCCTCACAATGCCTTTTCTATTTTATCCCCAATGCTCATTTTAGCCTGACTCTTCTCYTGCAAGCTGAATCCCAACAATTGCCTTTGATATCTAAATTCTGGTGGAAGAAGGAAGCCCAAGCAAGAGATCTATCACATTAGAACTGCATGAGGTGCCACCAGGCTGCTTGAGGACAAGGGCAGGCTGAAGCTGGATGGGACAAACTCCACTGCTGAAAATCTCTGCAGTGCTTGAACTGAAGTCACTGATGGAAAAGTTTGAAACTCTTGTGAAGCAACATTCAGAGCTGTTCCCTCAGCAAAAATCTGCTGAACATCTGGGCAATCTCACTGTGTGACAAAATGAAGATGTTTTCATATTGATTGCTCGCCTTGGGGCTCCGTTTTGGATGTCATCCTGCTGTGAGAACCCTTCGTCATCAGATCTCTCTCATGCAAATGCTCACAGTCTGCAGTTTGTTTTTGCTTGCTTTAAGCACTACTATGCACTATATATGCAAAAGTCTTCTGAGATTATCTTAGTCTGTGTCCTGTAAGCACAAATATGTTATTTTTAATTAGATTATTTTTACTGTTTTGTAAAGCATGCAACTCAATTAGGTTTTTAGAAATGCTCCAAAACACAATGTTGAACTGTATCGCCTAGTTTGAACATGCAGGCTTGCATTAGTTACAATAATAACTACTTAACTTTTTGCTCTTTGTTTTTTCATACTCATCTCGTTACCATTCTAATCCAGTTTTATTGTGTTGCGCTCCATCTGCGAGCAGAAAATCCACCTAAGAGGATAACGGCGTRGTGGTGGTGCCCGCTAATGGAATTATTCTCTTAGCTAAAACAGTAAATGCTTGYGCTTTTGATGCCACATGTTTGTTGCTCATGGTGATTCCCAGTGGACTTATCCCATTCCTTGCGGTGCCTGGGCATCTTGCACCGGGTCTGGCAAACACTGCTGCTTTGTTGTGGCAAGCAGAAAAAAAGCTATCAGCAACAGCAGGCGCAGAG